GAGAGTGACGGGGGGGAGGGTGGATGAAACCAATGCCTACTTATTGGTCCTGATATGATGTTATTAATAGTTAGTGAGCATGCTACTTTTGCATTGCTCCATTCTTCATGTTTATGCTTCATTGATTTCTTTTCATCATTTTAGAAGCGGAGCGAGGAGCTTGCTGTTTCAGCTGGAGAACACACGGAGGCTGTTAGCAATGCTGGAAGCAAAAATACAGTCGGAACAAAAGGAAGTGATTGTATGGCACAAGGATTTTCTAGTTCACCAATTGCATACAATGATGAGTTTGACACTTCAGTGGCAATATTTAACATAGTATGTTACTTGATGGTGGTGTAGTTATTTAGTTAGATTTTAGTTGTATTTATTTTATTCAAGCATGGCTGAATCTGATTGCAGGCAGCTACCTGGTTCCACCTTCACGACTATGCAAAATCATTTTCATATTTGGATGCTTTGTATCAGAACATTGAACCTATTGATGCGGTAATTAATTTCAAGAGTAGTTGTTATGATTCATGAAGTTGTCTTTGCTGGTAATCTTCATATGTTGACATGCAGGGGACAGCTCTTCGTATTTGCCTTCTGTTGCTAGATATTGCATTGCTTTCTGGCTATGCATCAAGATCTGCGGTAAGCTCAGACTACGACATACTAAATTTGCTAGCTTTTTATTTATTGGAAATGATGACATGCCGAGATGACTCTCCTATTAAAATTTTGAATTTCTGAAGTACAAATCACGAGGTTAGGCTGTGTCTAGCCCGTTCTATTTAATAGTTTGACATCAATTTTAAAATGACCTCTGACACAAAAAGGGAAAAGAAAGTATGAGTGAGAAAGAAGAGAGGGGAGAAGAATAGAAAAAGAGGAAGAAAATTTGAGAAATTCACGAGACAAAATCCGTTTGTATGTAATTCTGATTAATTTTAAGTTGGTACAAACTAAATGGTGGAGATTCTAAAGATGTTTTATTGAAGACTTGCCATGTTCAGAATTATATTACTTTACTGTAAGTCCTTTTTTTTTTTTTTTTTTTT